AATATTCTACAAAGTAACACAAAAGTGTTACTACATATAATTGCATATGTAAGTTATGTTTTCTTTAAGACCATCTATCTTATCAAATTGTACATAAATCTAATAACAAATAAAATAAATGTCCTTGTCGCATTATCTTGTCCCTTTTATCTTTGTTTTATGCAAAAATCAAATTCAGCTTTTTGTGAAAATATTTGCGCTGGCAATTGTCTGAAGGAAACGCCAATTGCAGACCCACAACAGCAGCAGCAACTGTTTGCTTATCTTAATCTTGCTGTCATTTCGCTAGCAATTTATAAACAATACGGGCACATATCATCCAACATTCGCGATTAATAGCAGAACATTCAATTGCGAATGTGTGAATTTTAATTAACATAAAAAATACGATATTTGATGTATCCGACAATTGCAGAAATGTCTGTGAAATGCAGCGAGACAAAGCAACGCCAGGCAGGCAGATGCAGCCCCAAATTGCAGTCCACTTAACTTGAGATTAATGTAAATCAGACCTAATAATTTACAAATTTTGGCACTGGCCCATGCTGTGTTTTATGGTAATTGCATGCATTTCAATTCATATTTTATGTAACTCATTAAAATATAATTTGCAATTGTTCGAAAATTGTTCAAGTCAAATATCACAGAGTATATCATAATTACAAAAAGAAACTCCAACAACAATATACATAATTTAAAATAAATTAAAATAATTATGATTATAATTCATGTGGTGCTGATGAAGCTTTTAATTTTTTTATTGAATTTTTAAATGAAAAATAAAATGTATCTTAAATTGTTTTTGCTCCCGCCAATTAACAAATGCGAACAAGTTTATTTTATTGTTAATTAATTAATAATGCATTTAGTCTGAAGGGAGCACAGTATGAGCCAACAATATTTATTTTTTTTTATTGATTTGAAAATTGTTTATTTTTAGTTGAAAGTCTTTGATTTATAGGCATTTTACTTTTATATATTTTTACTCATATGTATTTCTAAGGTTACTCATTTTGTTTAGAATAAGATGCAGACTCGACAATAGACATTCGTATATATTATTATTTTATGTACTTAAAATGAATGAGTTAGAAAAAATTTCGTTCCCAAGCTACAGAATTGTTTGAGAGCTACAACGCAGTAAGTCTGCCTCATTTCTGCCCAGTTTGTTTGCAATTTTGTTGTCAGAAATTTTAACGTAACCCATAACCCATAGGATTCACGTCTGATTATTTCGCATAAGAATATTAAGCATTTCAAAACACTACATCACCAGTCTTAATGTCGCCTGATGAGAATTGAGAATATTTATTGCTTACTAGCTTACTAGCTTACTACCTACTAGCTTACTGGTGTTGATTCATACATGGTATACACACTTGTTTATCGCACATGTTTCTGCTTGAAAGATGTGTTTTTACTTAACCTTCCAATTATTTCAACCCTCGCCCCTGAGCCCCTGCTCCGACACCTTCTTCAGTGAGCAGGCACCATACACAACAGGTTCAGGTACAACCTATAAGCAGGCACCATAACACAACAGAATAGAACTGAGATTGCTTGCTGCTTCCCTAAAGAAGTATCTGTATTACCAATTGCGAAATATCTTTCAAATATCTTTGAGGTTCTTTGAGGTTTCGCCTTTATATGTAAACATCTTTTAATTTTAAGGAGACGCTATAATAACACAATAGGATAAAGCTGATTTAGTGCTTTCTGAGGTTACCTGAAAGAGTATCTTAAGCTGCATTACAAGCAACGTAGTATCATTTCGTTATAAGGAGACTTCATATCTTAACAGGGTATAGATTGTTTTGGTTGAACTCATGGATTCAACTTTCTTCACTATCTGCGTAATATCTTTCAATTATAAGGAGGCGACATACGTCAACCGACTAGAGCTTAGTTTACTCGCTGATGAGATCTGACAGAACATTTTATTTACTCTAAGTTACCGTCTCAACAAGACAGATCTGTACAAGATAACAAAAATTTGTCTCTGATAGGAAAAGGATAACAACTGTAAATGCTTTGCGGCTGTCTGGGATCACTTTGGGGCAGGAATAGAATAGTATGACGAAAGTTTTTGAATTCGACCTATAAAAATAGTCAGTACTTTTATACTCAGTATTTGAAAAGCAACGTTTTAGCCCTTAATTAAACGACAGTGTGTGGTATTTAGTAATGGTTACTTGAAGAAAAAAGATTTACTAAGATGGTTCTGCTTGACTGCAATTCCTTTTTTTGTTAACTACACTATCTGACAAATATTATTTCTTTTTATATTTTGTTTCTTACCTCTTTTCAACGGTCTTAGGTGAATTAGAGACTACTGAGCACAAAACTGTAGCCTATTTTGCATAGATAGAGACATCTGAGTCTCTCACAAGGAAGCTCTTATGGGGTTAATAAACCTTTCTTTAATATTAAGGATCCCAATTTCATTTCTTCAGCAATATTATATTGCTACGAATTACCATATAAACATTTGGATATATATCCTTCCGCAAATTTCGCTTGTTTTAGAGGAAGGGACCTAGATGTCTAGTGTAAAATGAGAATATTTTCTGTGAATAATTTAAAAAAAGAAAGAGCTTTATGTTCCACTTAGTAGGATAGCATTACATACGTGCATACTTTAGTGTCTTTAGCAATCTTGCTACAAATTAGTAGAT